AAGTTTTTGGGATTTCCTCAAGAAAATCCTACAGAGATTTATATCGATAATCGATCAGCGATTGCATTGGCAAAGAATCTGGTGTATCATGAAAGAAGTAAACATATTGATACCCGTCATCACTTTATCCGAGAGCATGTAAAGAACAAAGAAGTCGAGCTGATATCCTGCAAGACAGATGATCAAGTTGCAGATATCTTTACCAAGCCATTGAAAAGAGAAGTATTTATCAGATTGAAATTCATGCTTGGAATGACATCCCTCGATTGAGTTTAAGGGGGGGATTTGTTGAAGTAAACTCAATCCAGAAGGTCAAGGAAGGCAGCCACCAGCTGTCACCGCCCAGCCACCAACCGACCAGCCACCAGCCGCCAGCTGCCAGCTGCATGCCGCTTTCACACCGTCGGCCACAACCGCCTTCACACTTGAAGGTTGAATTTTCTTGTTTTGATTTCATGTATAAATAGATAGCTAAGCTTATGCAATTATGTGTGGAGAGATTGAGAGAAACACTAGAGAGAAAGAGAGAAAGAGAGAGGGGTTGTTGTAAGCTTTTGTTTATGTTATTGTAAGCTTTATTCTTGAAATAAAAGAGTGTGTTTTATCCCCTCCGAGTGTTTCAAAGCCACCACAAGTGGTTTCTCCCACCAACAAAAGTTGCCTACGACTGGGTTTCTGACGTGTCATTGTAGATAGATAAGGACAAGATCGGTTCTGTCAAGTGAAGGAGAGGGAGAGGGAATATCACTTGGTTGAAGGGTGAGTGGCGGCCTCTGTAGGTGTGGTGTCGGGGAAAGGCCGACCGATTTGATTATGTTGGCATTGTCGTGCTTGGGCTGCTAGTATGGGAGGAGACAAGGGCTGTAAGATGATATGATAACCATATAAGGGGGGGAACGACAATTGTGGCTTGGTATTATGGTTTTTTTAAAAGGGAGGAAGCCTACCGACCTCAACAAGGAAAGAGGGGAAGATGGCAATAGGAATGTCTACTATATTTGTCTTGGCTGAGAGGCCAAGGGAGGGACGAGGGAGATCAAAGGTGACAACCTTGATCTTCTAGTTTTTTTTCAAAAGGGAGGAGGGAGATGGCTGGGTAAGGATAAGAAGACAAAGGCATGAAGAGAAAACTAGGGATGGGGGCCTTCGCTTGCAAACTTTGAGAAGATGATTTTATGGTTTTTTTGTCTTTATGGTTTTTTTATAGCTCCTCTGTCTCAGTTTCAAAATTACCCTCTTTCTAAATTTTATCCTCCTCTACTTGTTGTGTGTAAAGTGACCTCTATTTATAGGTAAAGTGGGTCAATTCTCAAAACATATTGGTCCTTCAACTTTTTTATTTTTATTAATTTTGATTTTTTTATTGTATTTTTGAATGTGAGCAATATCAACGTCGATTCAATAAGAAAAATCAATTATTGTAAAATTAACGCGTTAAAAGTTGAACGCGTTCAAAATACTTTTGAAAATTTAAATTTTTTTGAGATAATATTGAAAATGTTAAAAACAATACAAATATATCAAAAATATATTTTTTGGGGGTTTTAATTGTTTTTTTTGCTATTTTAGTTTTTTTTTTAAATTATCAAAAATATAGATAAAAAATTAAAAAAAAATTATCAAAAATATAGATAAAAAATTAAATAGCAAATGAACTAAATGTTTTTTTAAGGTCCAAGCATCAGTCTCACCAACCATGTAGGACGTTACCTTAAAGATCGCAGGAAAAACCATAATCATCCTAAAGAAAATCACCATTGCATGTGATCTGCACCTTTTTGCAAATTTATGACTATAATATAATATGTTAAGATTTACCAAGAAAGCAAACAAGGCATAAACGGAGAGAGAATTAAGATGGTATATATATACTTTTATTTTATTTATTCAACACATAATATCATGTTTTGGTTAGTACCATATAAAAAAACAAATATAAAAGAGATATAAACGTATTTAGTTGGAGGGATAAAGACAATATAAGATAAATTTATTTTTAGGATAATTTTAAAATAAATTCATATTATTTGAGAAAAATATTTTTTGTTTATAAAATAATCAAGTATCAAAACTCAATAAAAAAAAATCATTCAAATTCTCATAATAATAATAATAAGAACTCCCATTTCCCAGGAAGCACAATAAATTCATGAATCCAATTGCCGAGTCCTCTTATATTAAGCAAATGTTAAGGCAAGCCTACCAAAGAATGTCGCTAGTCCAGAAGTTTATCTGGGACAGCTGTAGAGACTGATAAATGGAATTGCCCTGGTGGTTATAATTATTTTATAATTATAATTTTTATGTTAAAATATATATTAATAATTTTTTTATTTTTTAAAAAATTATTTTTAATATTATTACATTAAAATAATTTAAAAATACTAAAAAGATATTAATTTAAAATATAAAAAAATATAAAAAAATTATTTTTTTTCAAAATGCTTTTAAAACACATAAATAAATAAATTCTTGTAATTCACTGTTATTTTTAAATTGTTTTTTATTTAAAAATATATTAAAATAATATTTTTAAAAATTTTAAAATTTAATCTCAGCAATAACGTACTAACCAATCTAAATACACACACACACACATAGAAGATAGTAGGGATTAGGAGAACCTGAGAGGGAGAGGAGGGCTTTGGTTTGGATTGGAAGATGGACCACGGTGTCGGTGGTGCTGTTGTTGAAGAGAATGGGATTGCTTGGTCTTGGCTTGTCAACAGGAGGGGGGAAAGGAAGGTATTGTGGTTAAGAAAGTTCCAGGAGAAGTAATGCCACGTTTATTTTCATGGCAGGAAAGTGTTTTATATATATATATATATGTATGTATGTATGTATGCATGTATGTATGTATTGTTTTGCACATTTCAAGCAATGAAGTGATGTAAAGTTGTTTTTTTAATTTTACAGGTTGAGTCCAGTACAACTCTACTGCTGGCTACTAGAGTGTCTTTGTGGAGCTCTTCTGCTAACTACTCCAGTCTCCGGAATGGCTCCTCCAAACTCCCTCTGAGAACTGTTGTTGCAAAACAGGCAAGCATTTTTAGTAGATGTGGTGTTGTTATTGTGGTTATATATATATTGAAATTTTTATGTTATATTCAGAAGAGGAGTGATTAGGAATGCTACTATTGAAGAGATCGAAGCGGAGAAATCTTTGATTGAGGAAGATGCTGTAAGTGTGTTTGATGCTCAAATTTACTTTCAGAGAAGACTAGCATAGTTGCGTTCCCGTGGAGTGCTTTTTGAATATTTTTGTATTTAATTATACAATAATAAAAATTGGCATTCGCATGAAATATAAGGAATAAAATTATGGAGGGAAAATGTCTTCTTAGTTTTAGAGAAGATTTTTTTTTTCCGCCAAATATTATAAGGTTATGGAATTTTGTAAATCCAGCGCTACTCATAATTTTAATTCCGAGAGGACAGGCAGAGCAAATCCATCCATGGTGGATAAGATTGAGGAATGGGTGTGTGTTTAGGTTAACTTGACTTTGTTTATGATTCTTTCATGTAAATGATGTGCTTGGTGTGTCCAAACATGCCATGATTTGCGTTTGTGAAGTTTTTGCTGAATCTTTATTGAGATTAAAGAGACCATGCTGTGATAGACATTGAGTAATTAAGTATTTCTACAAGAATCTTGACTGTACAATCTATGTGATGCATAATCTATTGTTAATCTCCTTCTGCTTACCCTATGCCAGTCTCAGGATGCCTTATCCAATCCTTGATCGCTTTGCTGTCGGCCAGTTATTAAGGAAACTTCCTTCAGCTAAGAACCTAGCTTATAAAGCATTATTATGAAAGGTGGTGGATACGATGAAAAGACAACCTTAATTTATTATTTATTCCCCTGTCTCTGGGCAAGTATTGCATATTTATGGGTTTAGCTGATTGCTTTTGATACTTTGACATGAAGAGAAACATGACATATTTTGATACTTGACTCCACTTGAATGTAAGTGGTCTATTTTATTAAGGTTAAATCTGATTTCTGTTTGGATAAGTATAAAGCATGCTTAGTAGTGCTTGAAAATAATCAAGAATATAGAGTAAATTACAATAAAACTTTTGCTCTAGTGGCTAAAATGACCACCATCTACATAATTTTGGCTATTGTTGCTTCTTAAAATTGAGGTTTGCACCAAATGGATGTTAAAAATACTTTTTTTCATAGGGTTCTCAAGGAAGATGTTTATATTCGTCCTTTACTTTCTACTCCTACTTATACAGTGTGCAAGTTGTATCATATGATCTCAAATAGGCTCCTCCTGTATGGTGTGAAAAATTCACTTCTATCCTACTCGAAGTTTGCTTTCTCAAAAGAAAATATAATACATCTTTGTTTCTTCACAAAACTTAGGTTGTGGTTGCCATTCTCTTGGTGTATGTTGATGACTGAATTATTATGGGTACTGATTCAACTCTGATCTCCCAATTAAAGTAGTATTTACATGACTCTTTTCACGTGAAAGATCTGGGATTCCTTGTGTATTTTCTTGGTTCAGAAATTACTGCTGATTCCATTATGTTTTTTTGTCACAGCACAAGTATGCCCAGTATTTGGTGGCTGTTATTGGTCTTTAAGACTCTACCTGTGAAACCCTGGAAATTTATAATTTAAATATGCAGATGTGTAAACCCTCATGTAAACATAAGACTGAAAGTGATATGATTTCAATAAGTGATGGAAACAAAGATTAGAAATAATAGATAAATAATGATATATAATGGAAGCGATGACCTTTATAAAATAAATTTTGGTTTAGAATTTATAAGGACAGATAAATTGGTAATGTGTTTTGATGAATAAAATAATGAAAAAAATAAAAGAATGTTTCTAAGAAATAAGTGAGGTAGTAAAAAATACATTATAATAAAAGATAGTGCAATAAAAAGGGTAGGACTATAGGTGCAAGCACCGATTAAAAATTAGTGATGTTATTTTAAAATGGTGATAAGCTCGATAAATAAATAAAGGTGAAGATTCTAAAATGAATATATTCAAAAATAATAAAATGACCTTAAAAGTTTAGAAGGAGAAAGTTGGAAATTGAAAAGGATTTTCAAGGGATGAAAATCCTCTTTGCCTAAAATTTTAGCTATAAAGAAGGGACTATTGTGATTATTGATTTTGAGCCTTAAAACAAAATAAGTTGGAGTTGGCTTCTTCATAAAAGTTGAATTTTTATGTTTAGCCTTTCATAAAGATAAATCACGCCCAAAACTCAGTTTTATAGCTTTAGTTATATATTGATATGTATCAAACTTGTGATGTTGTTGGAATGAATAAGAGTATCATGCATGCAACAATATACCTTAATTAGTTAGGATGATGTTTGAACAAATATGAGTATCTTGCGGGCATTGTTATGTAGTGAATTAATTTTGTTATTATTTGAATAAATATAATGACCTTACATAGATAGTCATCGAATTTGTCATGATAACCTTGGAATAGATGTAATTATTTTACACACCTCAGTATAGATTGGGTATACACAATGACTTAGAGATTAGGGGAGAAGTGATAGATAATTGGTCACTATAGTGTCAATGGCTAAGGATATATTACAATGATACTCAACATTACGATGAGGGTGACCAAGGTTATGTGAATAATGCTTGGTGATCTTAGTGTCGATAACTAAGTTTGGTGTGAAAGATACTTAATAACTGTGGTTACAATGCATATGACATTACAAAAAAAAATGAATTGGTATGAATGGAAAATTCAGGTGACATTAGCTATCCGAGTTTAGATAGCTAATAGTATCAATGAGGTTTCATTGGTACTGGCATTTCAGACGATGTTGATTAGCTATTCAAGTTTGGATAGCTAATGGTATTAATGATGTTTTATTGGTACCGGCATTTCAAGTGACATTGATTAGCTATCCTGGTTTGGATAGATAATGGTATCAATGAGGTTTCATTAATACCGACATTGCAAACAATATTGATTGGCTATTCGGGTTTGGATTGCTAATGGTATCAATGAGGTTTCAATGATGCTAACATTTCTTAAATTGATTAGTCGATCCTGAAAAATTAGGTTACTAATAATGTTAGTAAAGATTACTAACATCGGCGTGGTTACTCCGGATTCAGTGAAAAAGATAAGTTGATTGATTATTCTGGGTCAAGAATAGTTAATGATGTCAATGGGCCACATTGGTATTGGCAACCATTTTTGGTGTGATTTACCACTCTAGGTAAGGAGGCTAATAATATTAAGGGTCCTAACATCAGCAACTTTGTTGGTAAACTAGATATGAATAAGATTTGATTAACTATTCCGGAGAAGGAATAGTTAATGATACTAATTGGTTGTGTTGATATCAGCACGTGAATATAATGGACTAGTCTAGCCCAATATTAGAAGAATAATGATACTAATGAGATTTATTAGTGCTGGCGATTACCTTCTAGAAAATAAAAAGAAAAATGTTGATTAGTTAATCCAAAAGAATGAGATAAACTAATGATATCAAGAGAGGAATATCTTGGTATAAAGCGAGAATTGATTTATAAAGAGATGGTGTTTAAAAATAGTTGAGTTGTGTTGAGATTTCCAAGATGAAATTATTCTTAACAAATGAGATGATATTAGATGAATATTGGTAATAAATGGAAAATGCATGTTGTAAAAAAGGGTTATATCTAATTTTATGTCTCAAAAGAAATTCTATGGAAATTATTACCTATCATTGTTATTGTTTGTTACTACATTTTTATATTATATGTACCCGTTAATTTCTATTTTGAGGTCCATCAGGGTCATGCCGGGAATGATATTAGTTTAGTTACCTTTTGCTTTTGACCATGTAATTATTTGTAAATTAAAAGTCTTATCTCCTAAAACTTGAAATGTATTATTAATCCATAAATTTGAATGTATGACTTTAATCTAATGTTTGTAACTCTAAGTATCTATTTCTAAGTATCTATTTAACCATGAATGTTTATAATTGAAATTGAATTTTTCATTTTAATTATATTATATGATGTTATTGAATAAGATGTTTTATGTTGATGATAATGAGTTGGGTTGAAATGCAGGACCATTAGATTGGAATGTTAATTAAAATTGGAAGTGTAATGTGATTTTGTTGATAACTTGGAACTTCTCAATGTAGAGGAGATTTTGTTGAAATTTTGGTAGAAATTTTGGTGGAACATGTTGGTTTATAGCTTGGTCTATCTAACAATCACTACATTTGATATTTCTTATGCAGTTCAATAGTTTAGTCAGTAGATGGCCTCTCCTCAACAACTTCATATGGTTGCAGTATGACGAATCAATCATTCACTGTATTCATGGCACAACTTTGTGGGGGGTTTTGCTCTCTCACTGGTAGTGCACTTCATCTTGTAGTATACAATGATGTTGATTATGCTGGGTGTAGTGACATTCGATGTTCTACCATGATTTGATGCATGTTTCTGTCCGGCCATTAGTTTTTGGAAAAGCAAGGAACAAACCATGTTTCTAAGTCCTCTACTGAATCCAAATAGAGAGTCATGTCCCAAGCTTGTGCTAAGATACATTGGTTTTGAGGGTTATTGGCTGAACGTGGCTTCTTTCTGGGTGGTCTTACTTCCCTTTATTGATAACATTAGTGCCAATTTTTATTTTAGTCGTTTCATTTCAAGTGGTGTGCTGATGGACATGAACCGTCTTCCAGGATTATTTGAAGCTTTAACAAAATCCGATGCGTTATGTAGATGTGCGAGCTTCCTGCCCAGCGCTCTATTTTGGGATGTACCGTCCACACCTCTCCAAAAACGTACTTTTCTGAAAAGTAAATGGGATCTCGGTGGGATATTTTCTTCTGGAATGAAGGATGAAAGACGGGTCCGTATGAGTCTTTGCTATTCATTTGTAGAGCACTGCTCTAACTTTTCTTTGAGGATCCGTTTGTTCACGATAGACGTTCATTAACTTGAGGAATCATCAATATGATGTTGTTCTAAATGAACAACGATGTCAGATTTTATCCCATTTGATTTTCTCAACATTCCTTCATCTGAAATTACACGTGATGCTGTGAGAGATTCTACAGGCATCAGATGGCGTGTGGTTCGCCGTAGTGTGTCCCTTCACTAGCACTCTAATTTGTACTATATGGACCAGACCGTGCTACGCCTAAAAGGAGATTACGACTCATGGGCTTCGTTTTGGGTCAGAAGTCAGAACAGGCCGTGGACATGATTACGAGTTTTGTCGAGCTCAATGGGCAAAAGAATCTTCTCTCCTGTCTCTGGAGTACATTATAGGACTATGATCTCATGTGGATAATAGCCCCAATAATATGCCCCTCAGATTCGAAATGATTGGCGAGGAGGAGGACCAGTGGACCACCACCTATGGTGACGCCAAGGGAGCTTGTTCTGATGATCGGTTCCTTTCAGACCAAGTTTGCAACCTTGGATTCATAAGCAAAGTGATACGCCTTTGACGAATGAAGATAGTTGTTTTGCTTACATGTAAAGGAGGGATCTGTTCATGAGCATCCATCTGTTCATGAGCATCCCCTTCTTTTAATGGGGTGATTTAGATATCATGCCCATCCACCCATCATCATCGCCATCAATTGTGCTATGTGGACAGGGCTGTCATCTGGGGACCGAGTTGAGATGGTGCTCGAGTAGAGAAAGTGGGACCCAGTTTCAACGGTTTGTACCTCCTCTCCAAAGCACAAATCATTTTCCGTGTGCCCGTGTCTCGCTCATTCTTTCTAGCGTGTAGCCCCGGCCAATAAATTGTGGAAGCTGTGAGTTTCCGTTGATACTGGAATAATTTGCTCAGCTTAATCTCTTGCCTTCGGCACAGGGCACTCGGAATTTTTGCGTGGATTTTAAATATTTATCGAAAAAGAAATTATGTCAAATCGAAATGTGGATTAATGGCTGTGTCAATTTTGTTCTCATAGCGTCAAAGATGCGATCTTTGTGTGATTCTCTCATGTGAGAGAATAGAATTCTATTATGACCCACGATTTGCAGCGTGCCTGATTTATTTTTTCAAAAATATATATCTAGATGCTTCAAACTGGTTTTAAAAAAATACACAGCTCTAGCTATAGATTCATTTCAATTGAATCAGTCGGTTTTATTTTAATTAAATAAAAAAATAATAATAAATAGATCAAAATAAAAAATATCAATAATATAATTAAAAAATATTTTTTATCCAAAATAAGACAAGGTGGCTGAGTTCTTGCCTATAAAATTCAAATGGATGATATTTATTAAAAAAATTAACTTGAATTAATCTAAATTAGCATGATAAATTCATAATTTATCTGAATTAGCATAATAAATTCATAATTTTAATAATTAATACTGAGTCAACCTAAGTTATTTAGTCAAACTTGTAATCCGAGTTATTAGATTAAAAATATCATATTTAAAAAAATCATGAAACTCGGTTTACAGTCAATAAAATATTAAATGATGAGATTAAAAAATAATTTTAATTGTGTAAAAGGATTCAGAACAAATAATAACAATTAAAAACTAAAAATCAAATTTGAAATAAAAAATAAATTTTATCTCTGATTAAAAGATGAAATTGAAAAGAAAAATCAATTCAA